TTTTAAAAAGAACCCTTTTCTTTTAGAAATTCGTACAGAAATATTTATAGATAAAATGACATGAAGTCTGGGATTTACTTGGAATAATCTCGGGCAGTGGTTCTCACCCAGAGGACTTGTGAAAACACAGATTTCTGGGTCTTAAGGCCAGAGTTTCTGATTCAGTAGGGACGGGATGGGGTCCCGTAGTTTTTATTCCTGACACTGATTGATGCTTATTGTCTGAGGCCCACATTACGAGACTGATCTGAGGTGTAGGAGAGTGGGTGACGGGTATGAATGAAGTAAGTTTGGGCGTGAATCGATAGCAGTCAGAGCTGTTGGATACGTAGGGTTTATTATACTAGTCTGCTCTTCTTTGGAAGTTTCAATAATAAAAAAGTGTGTGTGCGTGCGTGCACGTGTTACCAGAATTTGACCGTTTCCCAGCACCTCTAGTCCTACCACCCTGGTCCAAGCATCCTCTCTTGCCTCGATCGTTGTAGGGCCTCCTAACTGGTCTCCTTGCCTTTCCTTTGCCCCTCTAGGATCTGTTTTCAACAGGACAGCCAGAGTGATCCTCAAAACCCTGCAATGCTTCCCTCTCACTCAGAGTGAAACCCCAAGTCTCTTTATCACCTAGAAAGCACTTTGCAATGTGTCCCCAACTCCATTTCCCCTATCAGACACGCTGACCTCGCTAACCCTTGCATATGCCAAGAATGCTTCTGCCTCAGGACCTTTGCATGTGCTCTTCTGGACCCATAGTGCTCCCCGACCGTCCACTCAGCCATCTCTCTCTTTTCCTTCATCTACTTTCAAAGGTCGCCCCTGCAGTGAGGCCTTGTCAGACCCCACTGTAAAAGTTCACACTCCCCCCACTTCCTGCCCCTCTTCCCTGCTCACTTCTCCTTAGCTCACATCACTGTCTGTATTGTGCTACTGATCTGATCTGTCCCCCTTGGCAGGAAGCTTGTGTGGTTCCTGGCACCGAGTAGGTGCTGCCGCTGCACCACCTTTGTGGCAGCCTCGTCAGTGCCATGGCTCCCGGCTCCCAGCCCCACCGGGTTGACCTCCACTGTCCTCACTCATCCGTTCATGACATGTGTCCCTTCTTTGCCACTGCCCAGTGTCTGCCTCGGCTGACTCTGGCGTAGGTGGGTTTGGGTCTGTTTGGATCCCTGCTGGGTCCCTGTACCTGGGACAGTGCCAGCCGCATTTGGCTCTCAGATACATGCCCACTGAATGAACGGCTGAATCCTTGGGCAAGAGGTGGACGAGGATGAGGGTGGGAGCGTAAACGAGAGCACTTTCTGGAAAGTCATGGCCAGTGGGGGGGCGGGGAGGGGGGATGTGGGCGGGGGAAGCAAAAACATCCTCACATGGAGAAACCTACCGGAAATGCAAAAAAGTGTGGAAGACAGGAATAGTCTATTTTTGAGACGTTAAGTAAGGAAGGACAGAAGTTGCCAACGGGCAGATCAAATACAGTCTGCAGAGGTGTGCAGCCCACACGATGCTTAAAATAAATCTGGACTGGTTGCCAACACTGAAAAATCAGAAGTATCCTATTTCTCTTGAAAAGCTGGAGGCTTGCTGGCACTGGGCTGGCCTGTCCTCCTGGGGTAAAAGGGTGGGAACGGACTGTGTGCCCCCATCAGAAGGGGCGTGTGTCCTCTGGTCGCCCATGGCCCCTCCAGCAGCTTCATTCATTCATTACCTGCCTGAGGCTTGTATGTATTTGATTTGTGAGCTCCCTTTTGAAGAGCAAAATGGATTTCTTCTTCCTTCTACACTAAGTGAGGAAACAGTTATTTGGGGCAGGCGGCATGTTGGGCAGTTTCGGAACAGGTGCTGGAGGTGGGGCTGTGAGGGCCGCGAGGGGGCCTGCGTCACAGGGATGGGACGCATCCTGCTTCCGCGTTGCAGGGGTCAGAAGGGGCCTCGGAGAGGAGGGCGTGGAGAAAAGGAGAGACGGTTTGCCCGGAGTCTGGGCTTTAAGAGGGTACCCCGGAATGTGACCTTATTTGGAAATAGGGTCATTGCAGGTGTAATTAGTTTGAATTGAGGTCATCCTGGAGGGGTCCCCAAATCCTGTGTGATGGGTGTCCTTACAAGAGGAGAGAGACACAGAGCCACACAGGGAGAAGACAGCCACGTGACGATGCAGACAAGGATTGGAGTGACGCAGCTCCAAGCCGAGGAAGGCCAAGATTGATGGCCACCGCCACAAGCCAGGACAAGGCGGGAGGACCCTCCCATGGGGCTTTCAGAGGAAGTGTGACCCGCTGACACCTTGCTTCCAGACTTCCAGGCTCCAGAACCGAGAGCTGAGAAAGTTTCGATATTTTAGGCCACCTGGTTTATTTACCGTCAGTCTGTTTGTGGTGGAGCTAAAGCATCTCCCAGGACTGTCACGTGCACTAAGGTCATGACCTGCCGTGTGAACCACGTGTGAACGTCAGGGATAATGGTGTTGATTATATATTCAGGAGTCAATCATTTACAGGATTTGAATGGGACAAAGTGGCCTGGTGGCGTTGTGCTTCTTTGTTTTTAAAATAGGATGAAAAGTCTTTTCTGTTTGTGTTTGTTTAATTTTCCCAGCGCGGGGGGCGGGGGACATGGTGTGCGGGCTTGTCCTCTGTGATCCAGCAGGGCAAGGGGTCAGTCTGTTTCCACGGCTTCTCCTGAAGCCCTGTTCCCACCTCTGAAGTGTGGATTTGACCACATTAACTTTGGCTGGCAGTTTCCCGGGGTTTTGTTTATTTGGTCGGGACTATTTGCAGAGGTGCATGAATGCACAAAGACCGCCTTGTTTTAGGGTCAGCAAAGTGAGACCCAGATGATACTCCGGCTTCAGGGTTCTGTTCAAAGGCTTTGTAAAGCTCTGAGGGTTAAAATATGACTTTTTCGTGTCAGAATTATTCTCTTGCATTGAGCAACTTGTCCCCCAAGGTGAGGACCAGGCCTCTCCCTGGTTAGATTGGGAGACACCATGCGTGGCCCTGAACAGGGCCTGCAAGGGGCAGTTCGCTTCCACCTGTGGGGTTGAGATTTCACAGGCTTTACCTGTCCTAGAGCTTCACGTGTCCTAGAGCAGGGAGCAGGCCACTTCCAGGAGGGCTCCATGGCACAGGGCCCAGGGCCCATCCCTTAGTGGCGGGTTTGTCACCACCCTGGGCAGAGAGCAGACTCAGGAATGGAGAGGATCCAGGAACTGGGTTGTATCCATCTGGGGCCCCTCGGATGTCCACACCCTAATCCCCAGTTCCTATGAATGTTACCACACGTGGCAGAAGGGGCTTTGCAGATGTGATTCCATTAAGGGCCTTGAGATGGGAGATTATTTGGGGTTATCTGGGGGCCCAGTGTACTCACAAGGGTCCTTAACAGATAGAAGAGGGAGGCAGGAGAAGGAGAGAGAATGAGGTGTGAGTGAAGATGGAAGCGGAGATCAGAGCGATGCGACGGCTGGCTTTGGAGAGCGAGGAAGCAGCCAGTCGCCAAGGACTGCAGGCAGCTCTAGAAGCCACAGAAGGCAGGGGAGTGGCTTCTCTTCTAGGGCCTCCAGAAGCAACCCCATCCTTCTGACATCTTGATTTTAACCCGGTGAAACCCATTTCAGAGACTTCGGACAAGCAGAATTGTGAGATCACAAATTTGTGTTGTCTTGGACCACTGAGTATGTGGTCGGTCATTAGTTACCGCAGCGGTGGAGACGAATGCATCATTCCATCGCCTCCCAGCTGTCCCACATCCTCTGAGGCAAGTCGATGGAGTCGGCAGGGCTATATGGTGATTACCTGCAGGTTACCCGTCTCCCTGATTCCCCCCCCCCCACCCAAAAAGAAAAACGTAATCAATTAGAAAAATTCACACGACTGTTGGAGGAAAATGTCATTTATTAAACCGGTTTTTAACCGTATAACTTAACCATATAACTCCTTGGAGATTCTGATGAAAATTATGGATCTTAGCCTCATAAAAATATACATCAAAAATTTTGCGTACAATTTTAGAGATCATATGGATTCCCCCAAAAGCTATCCGTGAAGCTCCGGTATCTGGCCGGGTCCCTTCCTCTGTCTCCCCAGATGGAGAGCCCTTGTATTATTGGTTTGGCCAAAAAGTCCGTTCGGGTTTTTCCATGTTATGGCAAAACCCGAACGGACTTTTTGGCCAACTCAGTCGATGAATTCAGTTGAGGCTGAGTAACTGCTTTCCTAGTAAGTCTCCCTAATGGTATTTGCCAGGTCCTTATTTGAGGATTCATTCATGTTTATGTTTTGTTCTGTGCACTTAGAAACATTCTTCTGAGAAAGGGGTACAAAGGCCTGGCCCCTGTAACAGCCAACGGCATCTCCAATGGTGTCTGTGGCATCACTGTCAAGGTCAAGGGCTCCCTGTTTCTAACAGTCTTTCTCTCTGTCAGTTTTTCTTCCTTCGCTTTTGCACCAGGCTGGGTCTCGCCCTGGGCGTTCCCAGTAACTGCTGAAGACCCGGGGCCTCTGTTCATCAGCCTGCCTTGGGATTCACTGGCCCCAGGCCTCCTGCTTAGCCTCCATGTGTTAGCTGGTCCCTGGGGGTAGGTGGGCACTTGAACGACGCAGCCTCCAGTGGACGATAGTTAAGAAGGAAGTTCCTCCCCATCAGGGAGCGATGACTCACTGCTGTTTCTGAGCATGTGGACTGCCGCGCAGAGGGACGGGGCTGGCCTGCAGCAACTGCCCCTGGCTTGAACCCTCACACTCACGTCTGCCAGCCGGAGACTCCCCTCTGCCTCTCCAGCCCTCAGGCAGCTGTCGGAGCTTCCAGAGACCAAGCTTTGGGTGGGAAGATCTGAGTTACTGCAGCTCAGTGATTTGCTGATCCTCAGACCTCCACAAATATTACTTGGGGCCGAGCTATTGTCTCTGCGTTTTCTTTTCCGAGTGGGTGGGAGCTGCATTGGAAGCTGCAGTGAATGAACTCCAGCAGGAGGCTCAGCTGATGCTGTCTGTGCTGTGTTTCTTCCCCAGCTCCAGAAGAAAAGGAGGTCATTAAAGGCCAGTATGGAAAGCTCACTGATGCTTATGGCTGCCTGGGGGAGCTCAGGTTCAAGTCTGGTAAGTACCCACTCCGAGGGGCAGCAGCTGTCAGACCCCCCCCCCCC